TTGGTTGGTTGGTAAGTGATAAACTTCTACATCGCTCAACCGATCGTGATGAAACTTGACATGTATAAGTAATTTTTCATAGAGAAGATTTTTAGGCTATCAATTTTTCTGTAACTCGCCACTAAATGGCGCTGCCATTTATTGTCAAAACATTGGAACAGCAGCGATACAGCAACATAGTACTAATTAGTACTACAACTACCAAATTCTACGCGGGCGAAGCCGCAGGCAACAACTAGTTGTTTTATATAATTATCTCCTACATCTGCTATCGATTTGGTTTTTTTTATGTACAGGAATATCCCATATTTTATCACTTGATATTTTTCAACTTCATTCTTTACTGCATATGTCAGAGAGTGTATTGGTACGTTCAGATAATAATTAAAGTTTTGTTCACCCTATTCATTGATAGGTATAAACGCAATTATTTTCTTATTATTTTGAAATGAGTATGTTGTATGAACTCCTTTCTTTGCATATTTATTTGCAAGGTTTTGTTCCATTTCCATTTCCATTAGCAGTTACGAACAATTTGCATAAGTGGTACATTCATCCCGAAATGAGAATTCTAATCCTTCATACGCGTCGATAACATAACAACCAAAAAATATTTGAAGTTTGACACCGCCTAAAAAAGACGTCTGAAACTAATGTCGAGTTATATGATGTCCTCTACGAATTTAAATGATATTAATAATAATAATAATGTTTATTCAGATTCAAATCACAAAAAAAATAACTAAAGTAACACATATAGTTGGATAAACATCGTTGAAACCAAAAAAAGAAAGAAAAGAAAAAGAGATCCAAATGGAAAAATGAAAATATGATGAATACTAAAGTATGGAAATGAATTATGAAACTGATCTCTTTGTCGGGTGGAAGGAAACAATGCTGTATGTCTATTTGTATGATATTTAGTGCTAGAGCATAATAAATACAACTGCCGTATGTCTAACATACGAGTTTCGATGTATAATCTATCAGAGGGATACCTTTGAATAATAATTTGAGAAAACGCCTTTGCAATTTTATAAATACGACTATTGAATGCTCCTCCCCACACTACTATTCCATAGCGGATATGACTTTTCACAAGCGAGTAGAACATTTTGGAATATTTTAGAGGTAGGAGTTCTTTGAGTTTCCTAAATTTGAATAAAATAGAAAAGAAAATGAAATACTTAGGAATAATTCTGGACACTAATTTGAAATGGGACCTCCATATACCGTCGTATTTTCCCCAGTTTCGCGATGAATGAAAAGAAAATATTTTTGACGGAAGAATCGGACAGTACGCTAATGGAATAATGTTGATGAAACAAAAATATTCTTTAAATAGGTCCCTCGGATGCCGACGCACTTTCTCGATACAGCTCGACTCGACGCCTGAGACGCTCAATCTTGAATAACACAAATAGATATGTTAGTGGTTGTTAAAATGATATACTACAACTGCCTCATTGATTCCAATATGATAACTTTAGGTACATTCAACTTTTGATCGCCTGACGACAGTTCTCTTGAATCCATTAAATTTTCTGTAAAATAAGATCATACTTTTAATGTATCACTTAACTAGACCACTAGAGTTACATTTCGTATGTTTGGTGTGAATCGTTCAACTTGAAAATTGAAAGTGTAATTAGTGTGTGCTGACCGATATTGAAGAAGAACTTTCCAACTGGAATCATATGATGAGTGATCAAAAATCCTATGTGAGTTGTGTTCTGCTAATTATTTTCAATACGAATTAATTGGAAAACGTGACTAACCTATATTTTACAATGAAACCTAAAGCAAAAATAAATTACCCATACGTTTTGGACAGTTGTCAATTATTGCATTGGGAATGAATTGACTGAAACACACTTCATTTCTTATATGATTTGTATTATTTCAGTCAATTGTAAGTTTGGTGAAACATCTAAAAATTCTAATGACCATTATTTTACGTTAATTTGATGAATGTGACACTGATGATCACGATTTTTGCCCAATTGACTTTCAAAAAGAGGTCTATAATAAAAATTAAAATTGTTCAAACTTCAATAGTCTGTCATTTTCCATGTTTTCTATATTTATTTGAAAATATTGAATGTGCGGAAATTACTATTCTCATAAATTCCATTAACAATGTAAAAATTAAATATCACAACAGATGGATGGTATATAAAAATAGAATAGATCTCATTTTATGAAAAGATTAATCTCTATCAGTAGGTATGTAAATGACACAATTTCAAAAAAGAGAAAAAAGAAAGAAAACGAAATATTGCACCTTTCTATTGATATAAGGTACTGTTGGGTAATAAGTCCAGGTTAAGGAAAAACTTATTTCGTAAACTATAAAGCATACCTAAACTTTGGCTAATAGAAATAGGTAACTAAACATATATTCTATAATATTGTATTCGTATAGGAACTTCAAAATAAACATTCGCACTCAACAGGAATAAAAAGGAAAAAAGTTGAAGTTGGCCTTAATACCAGCACGGGCAGGTTAAAAGGCCTAGAGTAAATATCCAAGACGGGTAATAAGGACCAACAGTTGAAATAGTTNCGTCATGTCTTCTGACCGCTTAGCCCTAATTTCTTGATTTTTCTTACCTATATCTGAAAATTAAAAAAAAAGATACAAGTAAATACTTAAGCCGCGTAATAAGGCCGGGCCTCAATGCTTGTCTAGGCAGGTAATAAGGCCTAAGCCTTTTTACACGTCCAACACGTTTAAACTTTTCAAGGTTATCAGAAATTATCAATCAACAAATATCTCAAAATAATAGTATACATCAATTGTTAATATCAACATGAACATACCTACCTAAATATATAGACAACAATTTTGTGTGATAATGAAAATATCACTCACCTCTTTGTAGCTAATTATATAAGTCGATGAATAAAAATCCAAGAAATCTGTTGACAACGTGCAGCCATCTAACGGAAACGCTACTGCGCCAATCCATGTTTCATTCAGGTCATTTGGAAGCTTTCTTCATGCAGATGGTGCTAGGAGCATAGAAAAATGCTTCTGTTGTGACTTTGAACGTTATGGCCTTACAACCTGTCTGGCCTTATTACCCAACGGTACCGTATATGGCGTTCCAGCGAAAACTTAACCCCACCTGTAAGACATTAACGGACGTGCAATCCAAAATTTTCCACAGCACGTCAATTTTTATTTCTAGGGACACTAATTCTGATATGGAAATCATACCCGAAACTTCACCACCCTGCGGTCAGCAACTACCCCCTCTATTTTTTTCAATGGCATGTGGGGTCGAGTGATTACATCATTTCAAAGGTTTTTATACCTCTATTACTTCTGTTTTTTTTTGAAATTGGTCCATTTGTTATTGAGAAATTAAATGTTGAACGTTTTATTTTAGGAAAAACAGAAAATTCGCTGTCGGAAATTAACAAAAGTAATATCAATGACAACAGAATTAACGGATAAAGTATTCAAAATGGCATCCACCTAGTTCCATACGATAATGCAGTCTACTTTCGAAAGCGCTCCTTACATTATTGAAGATGTCCGGAGTCACAAATCGGCATTACCGAACAATTCTCTGTCAGTTCAGTTCAGTTCAGTTTCAAAGTGAAAAAGTAGACACATATGTAGACATTATGCATTTTCCACTCCCGGAAAAATAATAGGTTGCAAAGTAATAGGTTGTTTCAAAAGTCTGTCCATTTTTATAAGTCTACCTCAAACTGCAATATCTCGATTTAATCGAGACAAGTGTCATTTGAATGAGTGCACTTTTGCCAACGCAGCACAAGTCAATTGATTTCGTTAGCCTCAAAATGGTGTGCTCGGGATCAGATGAAGTCGACGGAGGCCGTTTTTGCCTGGTCCTAATTGGCGAATGTTCTACCGGTGAGAAAGTAATCGAAGTGCTTTAAAAAATGGTAGTCGGTTGGCGACAGATCTGGGAAATATGGTGGGTAAGGCACAACTTCGAAAATGTGAGATCACACACGAAAGTAATTTCTCGCTAATATGGGCGGTAATTAAATTGCCACCGGTACCGGTGGAAAAATTTTTACCAGTGTAGGGCAAAGTATGCCCATTTGAAATTTCTGTGACAAACAAAATACATTCTAATGGCACCTCCTCCCCCTAAACAAAGAGTGGCTTCCATCCTCTGTAAGTTCTTTCTGGAACATAATGCCACCGCATGTTCCAAATCATCGGGTTCATTGCAGTATACGCCGTGTATGGTTTGTGTTTTTTCCCTAATATATTTCACATAGGTGCGGAAAGATCAGTATCCTGTGAGGGCTTGGGTAGGCAGATCCGCGTTGTGTCCGGGATTAGATGATGTATCCATCTACATTTCATGGCAGCTTTCCAGTGTTGTTGCTGTTTAGATCATCAGAAGATGATCTAAACCGATCACGACTGCTCAACTCTTAATGATACCAACTTGGGCGGCGAAATAAGTCAACAAAAGTTGTCACAATTCTGATGTATGTCTTGATCTTTGTTTCAATGATTCAACATTATTTTTTGAGTTGAGTAAAAATTTCAATTTATAGACACCCAACAAAGTTTTCCCGTTTTCAAATCAATTTCTTTGTCTTGATGAAACAAATTTTTTGTTTAATTTTTTTTTCCTTAAGAAGAATTCCAGATTTTACTGTTTGTGGTGCATAAGTTCTCGATTTGGATTAGTTTTCCTTATTAAATTTCATTTCATTTAACCCCATATGAAAACACATTTATTTGATCCAAGTCATCTAAGAATAATCGATCTACGAGTTAGTGTGGATGAAATAAAGTACATTACTTTATTCATATTAGAAATGAGTGTTTACATATACATCAATGTGTAATCGAAAAACCTAGTCAGATATATAAATACAATCAATACATGAAATAGTCTATAAAAGATAAACGCACGTAATTATAGAATGCAACAACAATGATGTGTCAAACAATCTGGCATTCGCTAAAACAAAAATATCCACATATAGAAGTACAATCCAACCTGCGTCACTTCTCAGTTCACTTTTACTCGGGAATATAAATGAATGAATACAGTACAGTCAATGGATCTTCACACTTCAATACGTGCATGCAAAATAAGTCGACAAAGTAATGATAGAAAAACTAAATTCACTAAAACTAAAGAGTAACTCAATATCACGATTTTAAATCAATTTCGTAAAATTCTNAATGAAACAGACAACGCTACGTTTTACAATGAAGCAGACATTTTCTTTCAGAGATGTTTGGATTACCTGAATAAATGGTATGACTTTGAAAATTCTGAGTAAATTGAGCATACTTTCAACGGAAAAACCGATAACGTGGGATGATTTGAGAGATTTGGCCGTTGATTTGAAGATCAGTTTTGATGAAAATAAACTTTATGAAGATTTCTGCATTTTAGGGGAAGTACAAGACAACATTGTTAAATCAAATGAAAGAGTGGATTTGAGGTGGGCAAAATTTTTCTCAACCATCGAAAATGGAGTTGGTTTTGTGTTAAAAAAATGGTTTCATTTGTTTTATCTCTACCTGTATCTAACGCTGCACGCGAGCGTGCTTTTAGTATATTATTCGATATATGGACAAAGGAAAGAAATCGTTTAAATGAAGAACATGTCAAGGCAGAAATTCAATTTAAAAATGGAGTGCGAAGAGTTTTTGAAATTTGTCCATTCTAGACCAGATATTTTAAAATCTGTTCGTTCAAATGTAAAATATAAGTTCAAAATAAAATAAAAAGGTATGATAATCAATGTTTTTTTTTCTCCTGGATTTAGACAGCTAAGAGGTGGTTACCCTAGATGTACAGTACACAATGTTCGGACTGCAACATATTCTAAATCGGCCAAACCAAGAAAAAACTGATCCAAAGGAACGACGAGAACAAAAAGTCATACATAAACCCAATAATATATAAATCAAACCTCGCAACACAAACCATACAAAATAAACAAAATATTCCCCCACCAGAGAACATAAAACTCATAAAACAAGTCAAAAAGAGAAACCGTATGGACATCTGGGAAAACTTAAACATCCATAAATTTAACAGTCATAATTCACTTATCGATGAACAAATACAAATCAAAACACAACAAGACCTAACATTCAATATATAACACAAAACAATACACACTCCTAGAAACAGTAAACCTAGAGAAGTGTTAGGAATCACACGTTAAAAGGTAAGACCTCGTTAGTCCTCAGCTCGCACAAGTTTCTCAACTTCTGAGAGTTGTCGTTCGTATGGGAGCGACAGCTGATTAACGGAAAAACAGATTTTAAACAGATTCAACATAAAGAATATCACTTGATGTAACCCAAATACAGACAAATTTACATAGTACCTGAAGTACCTGCAGTAAGACGTTCGGACCGCATAAAAGGACAAACAAGAGGTTGACACGTTCAGGTTGAGTAGAGCCTTGATGATGATAGCACGACCAGCTNGGTCCAAGTATTTACTCAGGATCTACACGAATCAAGGAACCTTCTACTTCAACGGTGAAGGTATTACATAACATCTTATATTATTTTTTTCATATTTTAATATTGAATATTGAAATAATATTTATTACAGAAATCTACAGATCTTACGAGAAGTAGGTTAGATTCTACAAAGAAATCGGATTATGACAGAAATGCTTCATCCAAAAATATTTCCAGCACAACTTCCTTTGGGGATTTCATGCAAGGTAATTTTAGTATTGCATA